AGGTCATGTGTGAGAACGCTTGGGGCAGGATGGGGAGGAGAGAGGTCAGGAAAGACTTACCGGTGGAGCCGATATTAGGATTCATTTCTGAGGGATGAAGAAGCATTGATGGGGACAAAGTGGAAAAGGCAAGGGAAGAGCACAGAGAAAAGCAGGAGCAAGTGAGAAGGTAGGTCAGGTCCAGGGAGCATGTGTTACAGCAGCGGAAGAAGGTGGGAAATGTGTGGTGACCGTGGGGGCTGAGTAGCTGAGTTGGGGGCACATTATGAAGAACCTTGATTTGCATTCTAAGAAATATACACATTACACTGAATGTGAAGGAAGCTGTAGAAAATTCTAGGGCCATAGAGTAACATGATCAGTTCATTCAGGTGACTGTGTGGCAAGGGGACTGGAGAGGGAGAGCGCAGAAGCTAGAAAGTGACAAGAGAGTATGTTCTACCTGGAAAGGGGAAGGGGGATATGGTATTTTGGGGGGGCAACTTTGGCCACAAAGTCCCCCAGTCTGCCACGGATGAAAGTGAAACTACCAAGACATGATCTGCTTGGGTCAATCTCAAGTGGTCAGTCTCTCAGAGGAGAAAGACCAAGAGCCCCTTCCTCAATGGCTTTTATTGGATTGTAATACACAGGAATACAGGCATCAAGGATCAAACAGTAGATAACATTTCAAAGAAATCTGAGGGTTTAGTCTGAGTCAGTGTCTGTCAGGTAAGGGGGTTGCAAAAACTTTGGGAGACATACTCATGTCCTGCTTGGACCCTTATCATATGAATGAAAGCACTCTTAGCAAAGCAGGCTTCACAGGACTTTGTGAATTTTTTCCTATGCCCGATCACCCCAGATCCCACTCTAGCCAGCAAGGGGCTGCACCGCCTTCCCCATCAAAGGTTTTTAGGCTTAAATGGATGAGAGCCAGGAAGTGCTTCTCCCAGAGGACATGGGGACTCGGGCTATGTCAGAATAGCCTGGGGGTGAGTGTCCATCACTCCCTCTTTGTTGCAGCCCCTGAGTCCTTCCATGATGGCCTCCCAAGTGATTATGTCTGGCTTAGGTTGCCCCTCCTCTGAGGAGTTTTACCCATCTTAGACTAACCAACCAAGCATTGGGGTCAGGGGATGAAGCAGAAGCAGCGTTGCTGCCAGAGACAAGCTTTGTCTCCTTAGTGGCTCGCATTCCAGAGGTCACTCACTCAACCTTAGCCAAAGGGGGCAATTACAACTCCTGAAACCAGGCAGAGCAGTTCCCAACAGTATCTTAGCAGATGGAAACGAGGTGATTCTTTGAAGTAAGTCTGGCTTTGGCCCAATACCCAGGCTGAGAATCTGGATGACTTCTAACGGAATACACAGTGTGGTGTGTGGGGAGGGAGGCTGGAAGGTGTGTCTGTGCCTGGGTGCCAAGTTCCAATGTGCAGAAACCACACAGAGTAATTCAGGCAGAAAGCTTTTGGGGCCAGCAGGCCACCTGCTGACATCCAGACTGGAGCAGGCAAGGAGCCCTCTGCTTGAAAGCGGAAAGGCAAAGCATATGTGTGAGGAGTTCAAGCCAAAAAGCAAATGCACTGCAACGTGGGTCTGGAACAGTGCTGCCAAGATCTCATGGTGCTCTCCCCACTCTGAGACCGAGATGGAGTGCTGAGCGGGGATGAGCATATTCTAATCCTGCCTGGCTCCCTGCTAGACTCATGTGAGGATTACAGAGCTCTCCAAGCCTCTGTTTTCATGACTGAAATAATGAATTCAGTAGTAATATTTTACATGAAATTACCTAACATGGTGGCATGGTTGGAGCCCAGAAACTTGGCATTAGGACTCAGTATGGATACTCGATACAGCAGAGAAGCATATGAAATGAAATAGAAAGGGAAGATCCTACTTACTGTATTAAGTTCAATTTATATTAAAAAGAAATTTCTTATTCTTCTAAATATAAAACTGGTAATATATGAGAAAGCATGAGAAATTCATACAATAGAAAACCTCTGCCCCACATTCCGCTGGCTGAGAACAGCACTCTTAGGAGAGATTATTTCCTGCTTCTTTTCCTTTTTTAATTTCTTTCCTTCTTTCTATCAATGTACCCAATTTTACATAGCTGTAGTCACAAGGCAACCTTTTTTTTATTTTGCCATGATTAACATTACCTCATATAGCTTAAAAATTTTGAAAATAACTTTTTATTTCAAAAAATTAAAATTTCTTTGCAAAATTTATAGACAGTACCATGCAGAAAAGAAAAGCCATCCATAAATTCCCACCACCAGAGATAATGATCATTTCTTATTATATCTCCTTCTTGGTATTTTATGTTTTTCTAATTGTAATTTAATAAAATTATCATTTTATTCCACCTTCTATTTTACAACTTAAAAATCATTACCCAGATAGTATGAATATCTTTTTAACTACATTCCATTGTGCAGCACCATATTTTATTTAAATAATTCCTATTTTTGAATGTTTAAATTATTTCCAATTTTTAGTAATATAAATGGTGCTATCTATACTTGTTCAATTAAAAAATCATTTATGTAAATTTGTTGAGCAAAAAAAATCTATCAATTTTTATGCCTTTGGCTACATATTACCAGTGAAGGCTGGACAACTGTAACTGAACAACAATAAAAAGAAAAAGATAACCAAAAAAAAAATCTTATGTATCAACTTGTGCTACCTACACAAAGTATTGCCCATTTCTCTACATTTTCACCAACAGTGGGTATTATTATTCTTTAAAGCTTACTATTAGTAAAAAGGAAATTTTATTATTTCCTTTATTACCAATGAAGTTGAGTATTTCTTTGTGTTTATGGTACTTTTAAAATTTCTTTTGAGAACTGCTTGTTCAAAACATAATTTTTAACCCGGCATAGTTCTGTCATGTGGAGATGCATTGTGTAAGGGGAAAAGCACCCTGTGTGTGGGGAGCTGTGTCCTTTAAAAGCAAATGCATTCTTACAGCACATGTGTGGGGCAACATGCCATCATCTTACTGCCCTGCACCACTTCTTCAGGCTTCCAGGTGTTTGTGCCTTTAAGCATCTAATGCTGGAATGAACAACTTTGAGTGCAGTCACACTTCATTCCTGTACTTCACAGATATTGCATTTTTTTTACAAATTGAATGCAAGACCCTCTACCAGCAAAAAGATTATGACTCTCTTTATCATGATAATTATTTTATTGTGGTGGTCTGAGACCATACCCACATATGTCCCAGGTATGCCTGTATAAAGGTTTTGTATGTGTGTGTGTTGGGGGAGGTATTTAGAATAAATTCTTAGAAGTAGGACTATTAGTTCAAAAACAATGGCTATCATAAATACTTATATCCAGTATTACTTGAACATAGAACGAGCCCTTATTATAATAGCTGAACAACCATTGATCTGAGACCAGGTGTCCATAAAAGGCAAAGCAGACTAAATTTCTAGTTTGGGTGGGTTAACATGTCTTTTTGTATTTAATATGAGATAACTAGTAAGATGGGAAGCATATCTTGCCAAACACTCTGCAGACATGAGCTATTCATGAGTCTTATGAAATACCCACAGAGGATTCTGGAGGTGTGGGGCAGGATGATGGATCCTCTGATTCTAACCATAGTTATACTGGAGATATAAGAGAAAGTGTGAGCTAGAAGGTGCTTCTACTAACTCATGTGCTTTTCTTTGGGTGTCATCTTCTGGTACCATGTAGCATGAATCCCCCAGAGATGGAAAGAAAAAGACTTTAGAAATGATCCTCGATTATGGATCCAACTTCTCCATTTTTTTAGGGGGTGGGGGTAGGGGGTAATTTTACTAACATACTCCTGAGATCAGTGTGTATCTTCATCTGTGTGGATTCCACATCCACAGATTCAACAGAAATATTCAACAAGACAATGTGATGTTGCTGCTGACATGTACTATGTGGTTAGGCCTACAATGATTGAGTCTGTACTGGACATACACAGACATTTTTTTGTCAATATTCCCTAAACAATGCAGCCTAACAACTATTTAAATAGCATTTACACTGGGTTAAGTGTTATAAGTAATCTAGAGATGACTTGAACTATATGGGAGTATGCGAGTAAGTTTTATGCAAATACTAGGCCATTTATATAAGGGACTTGAACATGCATGGATTCTGGTATCCGTGGAGGGTTGTGGAACCAATCCCTGGTGGATACTGAAGGACGATTGTACACGAACTTGTGTGTGTGCTTATGTATTTGGTGCTAAGGAATAAAAGGGTTTTAACCCCACTTGATGACCAAAGAAGCTTTTTAAAAAGGCATATTCCTGAATACTATCCAGAGCATCTGGGGAAAAACCTCATAATATTGTATTTTAATGTGCTTCTCAGGTAATTCTGATAATTAGAGAGATTTGCCTTCTAATCTTTATTTTGCTGATGTCCACTGTTATTCTAATGATTGTTCCTTTCTATATTATCTTTTTTCTCTACTTCAGCTAACATTTGCTTGTTTTCAATGTTTTGCTTTTCGTATCATGGATCTAGGAGTAGATTTGTATACTGTGTGCAGGACTCTCTTTCTTCAATGTGAGGTTTCGTTGCTGCTCTTAGTTCTGGAAAATTCACAGCCATTTTCACTTAAAATACTGCCCCTTCTCCCATTGTCTTCTGAAATTCCCATTAAACCTAAACTGAATCTTCTAATTTAAATGTCTTCTGGATTTTATGTCTTTTTTATCTCTCTGCAGCACTGCAGCACTTCAAATAATTTTCTCAGATTTATCTGTCATATCATCAATTTTTCTAATTGTGCAATCTGCTCTTAAAGCAGGCCATCATGCTTAATTTCATTCACAACTTTTTATTTTAAATAGTTCTATTGAGTTTTTTCATATCTGCATGCTATTTTATACCCTATTCTTTCATGAAATTTTTAAAAATATATTTTATTGATTATGCTGTTAAATTTGTCCTGATTGTTTCCCCTTTTGCCCCCCATCCACCCAGTACCCCCACTCCCTCCAGCAATTCCCCCATTATTCCATGCCTATGGTCATGCATATAAGTTCTTTGGCTACTCCATTTCCTATATTGTACTTTACATCCCCATGACCATTTTTTAAACTACCAATATGTACTTCTTAATCCCTGCACCTTTCCCCTATTCTCACCCTACTGTAGTAACCCTCCAAATAATCTCCATATCTACAATTCTGTTTCTATTCTACTTGTTTGCTCAGTTTGTTTTTTAGATTTAATTGTTGATAGTTATGAATTTATTGTCATTTTGATCTTATTTTTCTTAAATAAGTCCCTTTAACACTTCATATAATAATGGCTTGATGATGATGAACTCCTTTAACTTTACCTCGGTTGGAAGCACTTTATCTGCCCTTCAATTCTAAATGACAGCTTTGCTGGATAGAGTAATCTAGGTTGTAGGTGCTTGCTTTCCATCATTTTCAATACTTCTCGACAGTTCCTTCTTGCCTGCAAAGATTCTTTTGAGAAATCAGCTGACAATCTTATGGGAAATCCTTTTAGGTAGCTCTCTGCTTTTCCCTTGCTCCTTTTAAGATTCTGTCTTTATCTTTAACCTTCGGCATTTGAATTATGATGCACCTTGGTGTGGTGCTCTTTCTGTCCATCTTGTTTGGGACTCTTCCTGCTTCCTAGACTTGTATGTATATTTTCCTTCATCAAACAGGGAAGATTTCTTTCATTATTTTTTCAAATAAGTTTTCAATTTCTCACTCTTTCTCTTCTCCTTTAGGCACCTCTGTGATTAAAATATGAGTATGTTTGAAGTTGTCCCAGAGGCTGCCTATACTATCCTTATTTTTTTTCATTTTTTTCTTGTTATTCTAATTGAATATTCTTTTTCTTCCTCCGTATCATTGATTTGATTCCTGGCTTCATCCACTTTACCATTGATTCCCTATAATTTTTTCTTTATTTAGTATAACTTTTATTTTGGCCCAAGACTTTTTTATGCTGTTGAAGTACCCAGTGAGTGCCTTGAGCATGCAGTGTTTTGAGCTCTGTATCTGAAAGATTGCTTATCTCTATTTTGTTTAGTTCTTTTCCTGGGGTTTTGTTTTGTTCCTTTATTTGGGCCATATTTCTATGTCTCCTCATTTTGGCAGCATTTCTGTGTTTGTTTCTCTGTGTTAGATAGTGCTGCTTTGACTCCCTTAGTTTTGTGGCCTAATGTAGAAAAGTGCACCCATAAGTTGGATGGAGTGGAGCCTTAGGTAATTGCCAGGGTAGGGCAACCCGTGTTAATTAGGTTGACGTCTGAATTAGATATGGTGTTTCTGCTCTGTGTCTCTGTGTGGGGTATGGCTCAGAAAAGAGTCAATGGTTACTGCCTGGCCTCTGGAGTTTGTCTGGAAGGAAACTGTGCCCTGGCTCACCCTGATGCCAGACACTTCAGATTCCCTCCTTATGCCACTGGTGCCCTTCCAGCTGCTGCCCCAGTGCTGGAGCCCAGAGAGAGTGAGTCAGCATAAGTCCTAAATCCATTGCAAGCCCTTTAAGAGACTCCTGAGAATCCCATAATTTCCTCAGCTGTCCCAACCCTCACTGGTTTTTACAGCCAAAATTATAGGGACTTGTCCTCCTGGCACTGGAACCCAGGGCTGGGTGGTCTGGTGGGGGCTATCTTGCTCCCAAGATATCCCTCCCTGATTTTTATCCACCACACATGTATGTGTGGTACTACCTGTTTCACGTCTCCATGCCTCTGCCCCTTTTACCTGTCTGAATAAATAGTACTTTTTTAATTCCCTGGTGGTCAGGGTTCTACACAGCTCAATTTTCTGATGATTCTGGGTGGCATTTCTTTTGTAGTATAGCTGTATTTTTTGCTAGAGTTGTGCAGGCAGACGAGGCATGTTTACCTACGTCTCCATCTTGACTGGTACCTCTTTATGAAGTTTTTATTTCTCTCTTGAACTCCTTAATGTTTGTAAATATACTTAACGTAGAAGTAGCTTTCAATTGTTATGTTATCTCAGGCCGTTGGGGTGCTATTCCTCTCATGTGTGTCTGTGGACTCTCCCACTTTGTGGACCATTTCTTTGACTTGTACTTTTAAATTGTGAGCACACTTTCAGCTAGGATACATTTTCCCTGTGGAATTCCTGTGTACTTTAAGATGGGCTAGTAACCCTTCAAACGATTCTCACTTTTGATTCCTCCGGGAACTCCAGGATTTCACTGGTCTGAAATATTTACAGTATCTAAATATATTAACATCTGTATTTGGGAGTCCTATGCTGTGAAAATAATCTAAAATTTGGATTCTATATCTATGCATGATACATATTTTTAAGTTTCCATTTATCGTGGAGATGTTTCCTATCCAGATACCTATTTGGTGAGAATTTCACCAGTGGTTTGTAGTAAGTAATGTTTTATAGTCCCCCTTATATGGAGGGAGCAGCTCTTCCTTGCTTCAAGCTTTATGAATGAATTTGTTTCAACTCTTCACCTTTAACAGCCCCAAGGAGAAGTCTTTTATTCTAGATCTGTCTTAAAAACTCCAGCCCCCAGCTGTTGGGTCCTATAGCCAGGTCTGATACCCTCAGCTTTGTTTGACATCAGCTCATGCATGAACCACATTGCTCAAGGGGCAGAGGGGTTCTTTAGTTTTTGGCATGTGGGAATTTTGTTCCTCCCTTCACTATGTCTATAAAATAGTTTTGTTATATATTATCTAGCATTTCTATATGCCTGGGGCACATAAAAAGATGTCAATTTGCTAAGTAGATGGGACTAGAAACTTCCACCAGTCAGGTCTGGAAACCACATGGAGAATACACAACCTTTGGAACCAGAATCGAAGTTTCAGCTCTGACTTCACCACTCTCTATCTGAACAAGCTAAGTCATTTAACATCTCTAAGGTTGATTTTTCTCTAAGGTTGATTTTTCTCATTAAGAAAATAGGGAAATATTAGCACTGATTTTTCTGGTATGTTCTTCCTGTTGCTTTAAACTCCCTATTTTAAATGCAAGACATTTTCTCCATGCTCCATTCTTACAATAGCTAGAGGAGATTGCAAGTTTCTTGGGGGCAGGTATAATATCTTATTCAATATCTTCCGTAACATAATAATGAGTGAATGAAATAGTAGTTGATAAAGTAATCTTGTTAGTTTCCATTTATCATGTATTTTCACATGACAGAGCACTGAGAAAAACTGGTTAAAAACAGAGACCTGATTTGGAAAGAAAGGATAAATTCCATTTCTTAAAAAGTTTGCAGGGGTGGGGTGAGGAGTGATTACATTCTGTGGAGTTTCACTTCTCACAGTTCTCATCATTCTCTCTCCCCGGAGTACAAAGGAGTGAAACCATATACTGGTTTAGAGGTTGCACTTGGATTAATCTTTAAGAGCCAATAAATATCTCAGTCCGAGGCAAGGGGGACAGCCTAACTGTAATTCTTCCAGCACCTCAGGGTAGCAGGCGGCAGGAGCAGAGGCTGCCAGATCCTCTCAGCCCACACCTTCCTCACCTCACTGAAATGGAAGACAATAACCTAGAATGTGGTGTTTGCCATGTGCTAAAATTAGTTAAAAAAAAAACAGAGGCACATAGAAATAACAGGTTCTTGGCGATTCTTGCAGTTTGTAGACTCCAGGTGAAAATTTACTGTTCGTGTGGAAGGCAGTTTAGTGCATAGGCCTTTCGTTTCAGCTCTCCACCTCCAGAAATTCATGAGATAGCCAGACTCAGACAAAAGCAATAGGCTTGTCCATGGTAGCTTAAGTTTCTTTTTTTTTGCAGTTTCTTTTTAGTAATGAAAAATCTGGAAGAGATGAAAATTCTCATCAATTGAGAGTAGATAAAATACACATCATGCAATGAAATATTCTGTAGGTACTAAAATTATACAGATCTCTACATGCTTAGACACCTTAGGAAAGGTGTCTAAGTATGTTGTTTACAGTGACTAAGAATGTGAACCTTGGTCCAGATTGCCTGTGCTCGAATGTGCTTTTCTAGCTACATGACACAGGCAAACAGCTTCCCGCCTGAGTCTCAGTTTGTTCACATATAAAATTAGGATAATAGTAATATTTGAACACGGTTACTGTGAGTATCAAAATGAATTTATATAAAGTGTTTATAATAATGCCAGACTCTTAGTCAAGTACTAAACTATTATGTTTGCTATTTTTATAATTAATAACTAAAAACAGCAAGCTAATGCTAGCTGCTTATGTCTAGGGCAAGGGTGTCAAACTCATTTTCACTGGGGGCCACACCAGCTTTGCAGTTACCTTCAAAGGACCAAATGTAATTTTCGAACTGTATAAATGTAACTACTCCTTAACAGTTAAGCAAGAGCTCGGGGCTGCCACCTGGTAGAAACAAGCTGCAGGCTGGATTCAGATTGCAGGCCTTTTGTTCACCGCATGTTGTATAGGGGATACATTTGTGGTGTCCAAGGTGAAAGGGTATACTTTTAATTTCCATCTTATTTTTTAAGTATTTTTTTATTGATTATGCTATTACAGTTTTCCCAATTTTCCCCCTTATCCCCCAACCCACCAGCATTCCCACCCCCCACCTAGTTCATGTCCATGTGTTACACATATAAGTTCTTTGAGTCCTGTTTCCTATACCATTTTTTATCTTTCCCCATCTATTTTATGCCTACTAATTATGCTTCTTCTTCCCTGTACCTTTTCCCCCTGTGTGATGTCCATTTCTCTAATTCTGTTCCTGTTCTGGTTGTTTGCTTAGTTTTTGTTTTCATTGTTTTTCTTTTCTTTTAGTTTCATTTGTTGATAGTTGTGAGTTTATTGTCATTTTTTGTATCTTTTTCTTAGATAAGTCCCTCTAATCATACGATAAGGGCTTGGTGATGATGAACTCCTTTAACTTGACCTTATCTGGGTAGCACTTTATCTGTCCTTCCATTCTAAATAATAACTTTGCTGGATAGAGCAATCTTGGATGTAGCTCCTTGCCTTTCATGACTTCAAATACTTCTTTCCAGCCCCTTCTTGCCTGTAAGGTTTCTTTTCAGAAATCAACTGATAGCCTTATGGTAACTCCTCTGTAGGTAACTCTCTCCTTTCCTCTGGGTGCTTTTAGAATTCTCTCTTTGTCTTTGATCTTGGGTAACTTAATGATGATGTGCCTTGGTGTGTTCCTCTTTGGGTCCAGCTTCTTTGGGAGTCTCTGGGCTTCCTGGACTTCTTAGAAGTCTATTTCCTTAGCCAAATTGGGGAAGTTATCCTTCATTATTTGTTCAAATAAGTTTTCAATTTCTTGCTGCTGTTCTTCTCCTTCTTGCACCCCTATAATTCAGATGTTTTAATGTTTTAGGTTGTCCAAGAGACTCCTCAGCCTTTCCTCATTTTTTTGGATTCTTGTTTCTTCATTCTGATCCAGTTGGATGTTTATTTCTTCCTTATATCCAAATGGTTGCTTTGAATCTTGATTTCCTTCTTGTTACTGTTGGTTCCCTGAATATTTTGCTTTATTTTATTTTTGGTATCTTTCATTTGTTCTTTCATTTTCAACCAAGATCAATCAGTTCTATGAGCATTTTGATTACCAGGGCTTTAAATTCTTCATCAGATAGGTTGGGAATCTCCTCATTGCTTATTTCACTTTCCAAGGTTTTGCTGCATTCGTTCATTTGGGCCATATTTGTTTGTCTTGGCCCAGTGGATAGGTTGTAAGGGGGCAGGACCTTAGGTATTCACCTGGGCAGGGCAGCCCTCTTTGCTGCTCAGCCTGTGTGGGAGGGGCCAGAGAGGGAACAATGCAGCTTGCCTGCTTGTCTCTGGTGCACTTTCCCACAGACTCTCTTATCAGATTAGAAGTATCTCTCACTATGGCAACCCCAGCCTTAGCTCACAATCAGCTTTGAGCCTCAGTTTCCCCCTGAAGTCAATCCCTCTGTGCAGCTCTGCTGAGCAGGGCAGTCAGCACCGCCTGGCCTTGTTTTTTTTTGAGTCGGCCCATGGGGTCCGCCTTACAGGTCTGGTTGATTTTTTCTTTAATTCCTTGGTTATCAGAGTTCCATGCAGTTTGATTTTTCTGGCGATTTTGCTCGTTATCCTCCTTTTGGTTGTGTGAGGAAGTAAAGGGTTTTTAGCTATATCTTCATCTTGGCAGGAACTCAGAGACCCCCAATTTCCATTTTATCCTATTCGTATTGGCTAAAGTGAAACTAATTTTATTAAAAATAATTAAAAAGAATACTGGATAAGAAGACAGTTGTTCTGAAAGTCTGACATATAACAGTGACTTTAAAAATCACAATTACTAATGATTATATACTTAATACATTAGAAACTGATTAATATGAGCCATCTCTTACATTTAATCTCATGTCTGTCATGCACTTTACACTTAGCAAATGTTTTCATATTCATAATTTAATCCCACTAACTGGATTATCAATCCACTTAATCCCTGTAAAGTGAATATCATATTTATTATTCTAATTAGAGAAGAAAAAGCAAGAGAAAATGAGAAAAACTGGGGAGGCAACAAAATTGAAGCTTAACATGTTAAGAGCTTGCTTAAGATCAGGGAGCTTCTGAGTAATGGAAATAGATAAAAAGCCAGGTTTCCCAAGGCAAACTCTCTTTCCACCAAACCATAATTACCCTGTAAACTGGGCCACTGAATTGATAGAAAAATAGATTTTTAATTCTATCCTATGCATGAACACTATCAAGCTTCTAGTTTGGTAAAAGGTGGGTTTGTTGTGGCTTAACAGGAGAGAATAGCCAGAAAGTCAGCTCTCAAAGGTTATGAACAAAGGTTATATAACTGCCCCAAGATAAAGATGACCAGTCACTGGCAACTGACACAATAAAACATATAGTTGCACAGTCAGGCTGGGTAATGCTGATAAGACCCTAGGATGAGTCAATGAGTTGATCAGATTGGTGGAACTAATAGTATAATTAAAAATCCTTGTCACTGGATGTAGTTGAGGTCACTATAACAATGAACAAATTTAAAACAGGACACATTGCCTGCCACCTACATGATCTTTGGCAAATTGCCTTTCTCTTTGATTTTCTCACCTCAAAAAAATGGACTAGGTGACTTCTAAAGTGCCTTTCATTCATTAATTCATTCATTCAAAAAGCAGGCATTGAGTGCTTTTTTAGTGCCAGACATCGAAGACACTATTGGGATGAGATTGATAAGGTCACTGCTGTCAAGGAGTTTACATTCTGGTGGGTGGTAGACAGAGAATAACAAACAACTAAACAGTTAAATTGTCAGATAGTGGTAAGTGTTTCCATTACAATTAAAATAGGCTGATGGATGACTCTAGGTGGGTGCCCAGGGAAGGACTCTTTGAGGAGGTGACAGTTTAAATGGGAAGAATAGGCAGAGGAAGAGCTAGGTCACAAACTCTGGGCAGGGAGGGAGTGAGCTTGGTGTTGTAAGGAAACAAATGAAGGGTTGGTAGGCAAGTACGAGAACATGAATAGTTCTGTAAATCAGGGAGGATGCTGTAGGATTTTAAACAGTGGCATGATCTGATTTGTGCTTCTAAAACTGGTTGCTATGTACAAGAAAGGAAGCAAGGACACTAGGTAAGAAACTATTGCAGTATTCCAGGAGAAACATTACAATGACTTTGTCTGAGGTAAGAGTCACAGAAATGCAGAAAATTGGACAGGTTCAAAGTATTTGTTGGGGTAGAATCAATAGTGTTTGTAGATAAATGGGTTAAGTGAAAACAAGAAGAATCAAGAGTAATTGTCCTATTTTGGAATTGAGCAAGTGACTGGATGTTGGTGCTTTTTTAAAAAATGAGAAAAACAGCTACGTGAGGGGTAGTTAGGGTGTGTTAAGACAGCAGTGACTCAGGAGTTCTGTGCTGGTCATGCTAGACATTAGATCTCTATGGAACATCTATGTGAAGATGTCAAGTACACAACTGAAATCAGGAGTCTCAGGAATACAACACAGTTAAAGACTGAGTTATCAGTGTATGGATAGAATCACCTGAAGAAAAGAGATATATACAAGATCCTGAAGCACTCTCACATCAGAAGCCAAGTTGAAAAGATAGACCTAACAAAAGTGAAAAGAGTGGCCAATGTGATATGCAGAGAACAATCTAGTATATCAAATGTTGTTAGGAGGTCTAGTAAGATAAGACCTGCAAATCAAGTATTGGGGTCCACACAAAGGAAATCTTGCTAAGGATCTAGCTATATCTATAACTACTGTGCTTTTCCAGCACTTAAGGGCTGGGGAGGAGCCCTTAAAAGTAAATTTGCCAAGGGGTTCCAGAGAGTTAAACTGAAAGTCAATAAACAGAATTTTCTGGCGTGACTATTCCGATATGTAGACAGTTTCAAAAATACTTATTAAGAAGATAAACAAACATGTGCTTTTTAGCAGAGTCACTAAAACAAGGAGATTGATGTACTTCAAGATACATGTAATTATCTTAAGGAGTAGAATGCATGTACATGTAAAAATTAAACATTATGAGAAAATGAAAATTACACTGAAGCTGGCACCAATCCAGAAGCCAACTTAGTCAATAGCTATCATATAACTATTAGAGCTTTTAACTCAACAATTGATGCATGGTTATATGGCACAAACTAAACAATAATTCTTTTTGAAAGAACTGTCTTCATTTAGGAAAACAATTTGTAGAGCTACTTAGGGGTTGAGAGATTTCTCAAGTACAGGGGTTAGTGTGAACCAAGCAGCTCTACCTTAAAGCGAGCAGGTAATGGGGAGAAGACAGTGCTCAGCAATATGGCAGAGAGGTGGAGCCCAAGTCACCGAAATAGCAGAAAG